AGTGGGGAAATTCCTCTTTTTGAAGAGCTTGGGCTTGGGTATCCCCCTCTGGTTATGAAGCCATGGTACCTTAGATCTAGCCCAGGCTTGGAGACCAGCTGGGAGAAGGAGGGTCTGAATCCTGGTCTGTGGAGTTAGAGCTACCCTTTTCTTTCCAAGGCAGCCCTTGTGCAGACCCAGATTTGCTATGCAAAACAATTTATCCCAGGTTCTGTTCTGGTTGGCTACATTGTTCAACAACTTCATAAAACATAGCACAAACATTCATTATGGAGAAAGCAACAGGACTGTTGAATAACTCCTCCTGTATTTTTTTCCTGCTGGCTACAGTATGGGGTGCCCCATGGGCACAAGCCCAGCTGAAAAACAGAATGGAGGGCTCTGGGAGGAGGCAGCTTACTAGAGAGCCTACATTCCTTACACAAGTGCCTAAAGAGAGTGATGCCAACACTCCATCTGCCCTGTCCATCGCCTTCACATACAGTCTACTTCATGTTCTGTCACCCTTTAGGGAGGGAGCTCTCCTAGGACAGTGGGCTCTGCATGTTCTCTATTTGGGTACATTTTGGGGCTGTGATAAGGGCACTATTCCTGGAGGGTCTAGTCATTCACCAGCATTTGCAAATGTCCATAGGGAACAGGTGGCAGGCCCTACTTGCAGCAGCAAGTTTGTGCTCTCTCCTTCTCTATCTCTGCCTCACTCTCTCCAGTTGTGTTTTAAGCTGGGGCTTGAAAGGCATATTTGGTCCTTTGGCATTGCACATGCCTTTGAAGAAATAAAAGCAAGAGAAGCAGTTTGGGCAATGATAAGAAAATTACTTCTTGCCTAATGTAATGGAAAAATATGTTTGAGACTTGAAAAATACCCTTGACAATGTTGATTATTCTTGTTCGAAGGGTGTTACACGCACAGTAAGAAGTGGTGTTGCAAGCAAGCCAAAGCTTGGTTTAAGTAGTGCTTCTTACCAGGCTCCAAGGAAGCACTGAGAGGGCCCTGGTTAGACTCATCCTCTTAGACAGGCCTCTAACTCCCTTTGTTCCACTGTTTTGCCTGCCTTTTCCTATTCTCACTTTCCTTGGCTTCCTCTTCCTTTTTTCTGTTCACTCAGCTTGCTTGCTGGCCAGCCTGCCTGCCTGCCTGCCTATGTGATGATGAATTCTCTGCATGGCTGCAGTGATCCCACTGTTAGTTGACAAAGTTAGGCTTAACCCCTTGTCTGCAGAAGACCAAGAACCTGCTCCCCACACCCAGTGGTATTAACCCTGGGTTGGACTATCCTCAAGCTTACACTAGGGCAGAGCAGTAGGTCTGCCCAACTGGCATGAAATCAGGAGGGTTTCTGTCAGTTCCATATTTATCCATTCCTTGGATCTGGTTTCTCTCATATTTTCTGGTTCTGCTTCCTTTTCTCTTTACCTGAGACTTCCCTTTGCTGAGGATATTCCAGGGTTGAGCTATTTGGGTATTCAGGGTTGGAGGGTTAGAAGATAGATACAGAGGAAGAAGGGAGTGTTTGGAAGAGAATGGAGAGAGTTTGGATTAAAGATGAGAAAGGAAAGCAGTGCTCTTTGTCCAGTCCAACACGACCCTTTGGTGTCGAGGTGCTACTGTTGCCTTCTGGGGTTAAACCTGGGGCTATTGTTGCTGGGAACACTTAGAATAAGGCTAAAGAGGGTACCTAGAAGTTTGAAACCTCCCAGTCCCCACCTGTGAGATAGCTCCTCTGTGGTGTCCTCTTTGGCTGAGAAGCAGTGTTTTTGGATAGTTTCTTTTCTTTTCTTTTTTTTTTTTTTGTCCAGAATGATGTGAATAAGACTGCACACATGATAAACAGCCAAGAAGACACTGTTTTCTTACCTTGCTGATGTGGTATCTGCAAGGCTAGACCTGGCATTCTGTGTGACAAAAAAGGATGGAAGCTCCTTCCTTTTCAGGGTAGAGAAGTCATCTCAAACTAGCCAAAAGGCAGTTTTGGAAACAATGTTGGGGAAAGTAATTTTTATTTATTTACTGGGTTTGGGCAGATCCAGGATGGTAGCTGGGAAGCCTTTCTTCTTCAAGTCTGATCATGGCAGGGATATGCAGGGCACTCTTCCCTCTAGGCCTTCTAAGCAGACTGGGGAGGAGGGAATTCTCTGGTTTTCTCTTTCCCTCCACTTACTAGGACTTGCCTCCTCCCTTGGCCGGGAGAGAGGCTGGGTTGGTGCTCTCCCCTTACTCTACTCCTGACTTAGAACCTCTGGCTGCTGTTTGGGAGCCCAAGAAAGGGAGTGGAAGGAATGGGCTCAAAACAAAACAATGATGTGGGGAAGGCAGATTTCCTACTTTAAAAAGGAAAATAGGAAACTCTCCAAGAATTGTGCAAGTAAAGACAATGTGTCCAAATGCACTGAGTCCCCTGGTGTAGTAGCAATAAGGAAAAATGAAATGACTTTCCTGTACACACAGTCCAACCTGATTGGTGTGTGATGTTGCACTTAGCAGCCATGTGGTGGGCATGTGTGACTACTCTGGGTTTCACTTTAGTTTCTAAACTTTTTATCCCTCTCAAGTCCAGCATGGATGGGGAAGTGTCCCTGGAGCCCCACAGCTGTGTACTTGTTTGCGTTTGTTTCCCTTTGAGATTTGTGTTTGTGTCCTGCTTTGAGCTGTACCTTGTCCAGTCCATTGTGAAATTATCCCAGCAGCTGTATTGTACAGTTCCTTCAGAAGCAAGCAACAGCAGCAGCACAATTCTGTGTTTTATAAAGACAACAGTGGCTTCTATTTCTAAAGTGCAGTCTCTCTCTCTTTTTTTTTCCTCAACCCCCCCCCCCAAAAAAAAACAACTTTGGGATTAATTACATCTCTGATAGTTTTTAGGATGAACTAATAGATTGTTATGCAATCATACTTCACAGGGCCTCCAAGTATTCATTCAGTAAACATGCAAAGCACTGTGACAGCAGTATTGTGGGAGAAAAGGTGGGCACAATTCAAGAACAAGGAAAATGGGCTAGAAATGTAGCTGAGTGGCAGAGCACCTGCCTAGCAAGCACAAGGCCCTGAGATCGATTCCCAGCACTGCACAAAAATTAAAAACACAAAAATGAGTAACAGAGGACTTCCTTAAGGAGCATCAAGTTCAGTAGATGTGATTAGCTACAAAGTCCCCTGGTACAGGAGAAAGAATATTAAGGGACTAGAACAAGGCTGTGTATCAACAGAGATAGAGAAGAAAAGGCAGATTGAAGATAAGAAATAGAATTAGTCAGACTCCCTGGCTGATAAAAGGGGTAGAGGAGTAGAGGCCAGTGCACAGGTTTCTAGTAGGAACATATGAGTATGTTGTGATGTTCTAATAAAAATGGGATGTTGTGATGAAAGATAAGTAGCTTTGAATAAACTGAGTTTTGAGGCACTTGTGAAGCAATGAAGTTCAAGCTTCCAGTAAATATAGTTTTGATGCCAGGTAGAACTACAAAACACAGTTATAGATATTGGAGTCATACGTGTATAAATGGTAGTTAAAACCAAAGGCATGATGATAGCTGAGAAAAAGTTGAGAAAAACAGTGAACCACCCTAGGAAATTCCTTTTAAGGGATAGGAGAAACAGAACCTAAGGTAACAGTCAAATCAAATCACTAGTAGATGTCTCTGGGGGTGGCGGGGACTGGTTTAACAAGGTTGGAGAAAAGAGAGAAGATGGTCCAAGAAATGATTAACAACATGAACTACAGAAAGGGAGTATTTTTTTTCTCCTTATTTTACTGCCTACTCTTTATCTTGTTTGAGATTTTAACAACAATATTACTTACTTATCATTCTCCAGTAATTCTCAAAAATGAACATTGGGGGAAAAAAGTAAGACTAGGTCTTCTGTGTTATTCACCACAACCAACACCACTACCACCTCCAACTTTCTCCTATTAAGGCCTTAGGAGATACTTGTAAAAGAATAAATTTTTGTTTTTGTTTGTTTTCAAGCAGCATCTTAGATGATGTATTGGTGCACTAGATAGCACTTAACTTGCTGTGTTTATTTTCATGACTTTTCTTATCCAGAACCTATGAATTTCTAGGAGTAGAAACTACATTCTGTTAATTTTTGTCATGAGTGTCATAGCATATACCAACATTTGAGAATGGAAGTAAAATGAATTAGTAATCTGTGGTTCATGAATATGGGACTGGGGTCAAGAAGTGATACTGAGTATTGCAGGATGGAGCAGCATTTCTGAGGCAGCATTCCTGAATCTTCAGGT